CCCTCCCCCCAATCTCTAAAATGAGACAAAAAAAAAATTGAACATACCCACTCCTGGGACATTTGTGAGGCTGAAATAACACAAGAATTTTAACACATGTACCTTTATAAGTGGGTGGATTTGTATTTGTGTTCATGTATCTGTATAAACTATCATTGGCATTTCCACATATATTTGATAATTTCAATGCTAAGAATGTGTGCTTTTTCTTGGATTTTGCTAGCCATTTATATGTCAAATGAATCATAAATAATGTTGAAGGTTAATCTAGCCTTTTGGACTATTTGCATTTTTAAGAATTAAGAATTTCCTTAAATTTCAAAAAAGGGGGAAGAGCAAGAAAAGTTTAAAACAGATGTAAATAATGAAAAAAGACCAAAGTAGCATTAAAAATGGTTCCTTCTAAATATTTTTAAGATATAAATGTTTAAAATACACTTTTGCTTTAGATAACACGATAAAATAATACAAAACTAAAAATATTAAGATGTACATACCAAACAATCAAGTAATAAAATCTCAATCTAAATAAAACATAGCGGCTAACCCACGAATGCATCATATTATCAATTCAAAAATACACATAACATCGCTACATTCTTATATAATAAACATTCTATAGTAAAACATTGTCTATTTTAAAGTTAGACAAACACATAAAAACTTTAAAATGTATATCTGTCAAACTCCAACAATGTACATTTCTATTATCAAAACTTACCAATATCTTTGGTATGATATTCATTTTGTCTATCGTATTAGCTAAGTTCTTTGAAAGCCATATGATGTTGATTCTTGAAAATGATTTATGCCTTTCTGGAAACAGTATATTTGCTTTCAGAGCTAGTTTTGTGTCTTCAAGAATCTACCAGTGCCAAATTCTCCCATCAGTCCAAAGATGGATTTTGGAAATTGTCCTGGATAGGCTTGATTTCTTAGATAAATGGCTCTATCTAAAAGCGAGCTTGTTATACCATTGTAATCTTTCATGTGCAACATAAAAACCAATAATAGATTTAATCCTTTGGGTCACAATTCCCATGGCATTGCCCCATATGTACCTTGTCCATTAACAAAACAATAGGATTGGAAGGGACCTTAGAAATCTCCCAGTCTAGCTTCCTGCTCAGGCAGGAAGCCCTATACCATTTCAGACAAATAGTTGTCCAATGTCTTCTTTGAAAACCCCTGGGATGAAGCAGCCATAGCTTTTGGAGGCAAGCTTGTCCACTGATAAATTGTTCTCACTGTCAGGAAATCACTCCTTATTTCTAGGTTAGATCTCTCCTTGGTTATTTTCTATCCATTAATTCTTGTCCTCCCTTTAGGTACTTTGATGAATGATTAAAACCCTTTATTCTCTGTGGCAGCCTCTCAAACATTGGAGCAGTTATGTTACTCCTAGCCCTTCTGTTCATTTGACTAGATGTGCCCAGTTCCTACAACTGTTCGTCATATTTTAGTCTCCAGTCCCCTAATCGTCTTTGTTTCTCTCTGTACTCTTTCTAGAATCTCAACATTCTTTTGTAATGTAGTGACCAAAACTGGATGCAGTATTCTAAGTGTGGTGTTATCAAAGCTCTATAAAGCATACTATCATTTCATGTGATCTTCATGCTATCCCTCCATTGATGCTACCTAAGACTGCATTTGTTTATGGAGATTCTCAGTGATCCAGGTAATGGTTCTCCCAAAGGAGTTTTTTTTCAAGAGGCAACTTTCTGGTTTTTCTTTGAAGACATTTTACTTCTCATCCAAGAAGCTTCTTCAGCTCTGACTGGATGGTGGGGAATGGAAGGATTTATACTCCTTGCAGCCAGCTGGTCATTTGCATTCTTTTAGTGAGTTGTTAAGTAAGGCCACGTGGAGGTTTATCTCTTATCAGCATCACCTGAATAATGCAAATGATGCGGAGCCTTCTTGGAACTGTTGAGAGGACTAGACTGGAGATAGATGATGTCATATCCCGCCCTGTGGAATTCCTGGGAAGGAGTCTAGTTTCTACCTCTTCTATGTAGAGATTGGCCACAATGGGGCACACAGGTGAACCCATGCCGCAGTCGTGTTTTCATCTGTAGAAACCTTCATTGTTTTTAAAATAGGTAGTGGTCAGGCAGAGGTCCAGCATGACACATATGCGGTCTGGGCTGAGGTCGGTTCTGTCACCTAAGGTGCTGTCTTGTAGCAGGGTCTTTTTTCCATTACTATGTCAACTTTGGTAGTTGGAATGCAGGTGAAGAGAGAAACCATGGTCTCATTTGGGTCCAGTTTTAGTTTCCAAACGTTGGTGAAGTCCTGTGAATTGTTGATGTGACAGGCAGTGCTGCCAACTAGAGGAGCTAATAAGGTGGTTAGATGTTTTGCAATGTTGCAGGTGGCAGAGTTGATGCTGATAACAATTGGTTGAGTGGAGTTCCTCTTTGTGGATTTTGGGGAGTCCATGTATGCATGCAGGGTAAAGACAGTAATATTGTGGCTTGTCAATGGCATTGTCCTTCAGTAGGTGTTGCAAGAAATCAATGACCTTTTTCTTGTAACTGCTGCTGGGGTCTCTCTTCAGAGTCTCATACTTAGCGGTGTCCTACAGAAGATTGTTCACCTTGACCTTGTCGTCATCTACGTTCAGGATGACTGTGCATCTTCCTTTATCAGCTGGCGGGGGTGGGGGATATTTGGGTTTCTTCCTAGGGATGTCACAGCTCTCCTTTCTTGAATAGAAAATTCCCCCTGGCAATTTTTCTGACATTGCTGATGATGAGGCAGTGTCTCTTAACACTCCTTTTGTATTGTATTTGTATTATTTGTATGCCGCCCTTCTCCGGGAGGACTCAGGGCGGCGAACAATTCAAGGGGGGAAAAAAGGGGGGAACATAAAAGACAAAATACAAATAATAAAAGTAGACAACAGTCGCACAACCATACATGTCGAGAGGGGAAGGAGCGCATCCCCCCCAGGCCTGCCGGCAAAGCCAGGTTTTGACAGCTTTTCGGAAGGCCTGGAGAGAGGTGAGGGT